ACCACTAAACCACTGGCGCTATATGCTGAATCATGCCAAAGAGACTCAGCAGAAGTGCCAATATACCCACTCCAAAGCCTAATCATAGATACTGAAATGGTCATCTTCTCCGAACTCTCTCCTCCTTTTCCTTACACGTTTTATCAGTTATCCAAGGAATGAAACATAGACTGTCTATTCCGCGATATCATTCCCTAGTGAGGATACTGCAAAACCGTATGTACATGTACCATGCCATGCCCGTTGCTGCAGCCGAAGTGAACAATGGAACTTCAACAAACCCGGGAAATACGCATCGCATCGCATCGCATCGCGACCGCACCGATTGGCCTACCTACACATCGACTAAGCCGGAAGCTTGACAACATACCTGTGCAGATGTGCATGTCGACGGGAGTGAGCAGGTCGCGCCGGCGGAGGAGGCACGTATGCGCTATGTAGGTAGCTGCTGGGTGCGGTAATCTGCCAGGCATGCAGTACCGCACCGAAACTCGCGGACATCGGATTTTAGGTCAGCGAAATATTCACCAAGTAACTCCGAAGCAGGTCATGTGCAAAGGTAAATGCAATGCACACAGGCCGAACGAAGGACAAACAAACCCCGTTGCAGTTATTTTTCCCACATCCTGCTTCGGCTAGGTACATACTGATGCTTCATGCACAGTCAGCGAAACAGACTGTAACCATTTGAGTCTTTTGTAGAAAATCCCAATTTTGATGCAGGTACGCTGCTCAGACTGCTTGAACATGACGGATATGTAGCCGGTTCTAGGGAAGGTTTCTTGGACCTGATATCCGATGTTCGACATCTTTTACGGTAGGTATGATGTTGGATGAGTGAGTGCTTCATCGATGTTGTGGGACACTGGCGATGACTGTAGCCATCAGGCTAGGTATCTTCTACAATGACTATGGCCCATGTAGACTTTATGTGTGGGAGTAAATCCAGGGAGTGATTGTCTTTATTACCTTTCTCCAATGCATTGGTATCTTGTGTCTGCGTGTGAGAGAGGACAAGGTCTACCATCTGATTCCAGGTCCCTCAAAGTATACGCCTGTCCTCCACATGCTAGGCAGCCATCGGCCTGCTTACACATTGACCAAGCTCGGTCATGTTGGGGAGGTGTCGGTCATCTTCAAACTTTCGCAGGAGGCGGTTTACCGCTTTCAACCACCGCCCAAAAAGCCGACTAGTCAACCTCTTGACCAAATCACATATCGACCGTTCTTCTTCTCCACGCGGTTCACCGAGAACCTGGAGCGAAACTGGGGAGCTGCGGTACAGAAGTGTGTGACTGACTAACCCGATGGGCAAGCGAGTGACACACAGAATGGAATAGGCTCGACGCAACGCAAATGGTTGAGCCAATGGATGTGTGCAGTGTAATAGAAGACTCCGGAAGCCACGGTGAAGGGGGACTGAAATTTACCAGAAGAGATAAGCTGAGGACCGCGCGTCTGGTTTTTGCCACTACCACGGAAGTCTGGGAGGCCTCCCGTATATATAATAATCATCGAGGTTTAGGTTGCCGGTAACCATCCTGGTTTGGTCGTGTTCAAGAAGCTTCTAGAGGGTCTCCCTTGTTGTCCGTACTGGTCATATTGCTGGCGGTTCTATAAACTTCGCGCCAAGGGGCCATACCATGATCCATATTGTCAATATGCCGAGCCATGACACACGCATTTGAGTGGAACGCCAGATAGAACGTCAGAGGCACGAGGTCCCCCATACACCTGCCTGTTCCTGGATAAGGCTGCCTAATTGTCTTCTGCGACATGTATCACAGGGTAAAGCAGGGCGTCGTGTACGCCGCCAATAAGCCCACTCCTGCGAAACATGCGGGATAGGTTGTTGTATGATCGGCGCCTTCAGTCGCGGGTTGTACTGGGCAATGTCCCTGTTTAACGCAATGTTGTGTCCAGTGGGCTGAGTGCGGTGGGGCCAGACTTCGCTTCTTGGTGTTTTGGGATGTTGTTGGAGGTCCTTGACTGATCTCGACAATCGAGCTTTCTAACACCCAGAGGCTTTGAAATGGCCTGCAGAGAATGGCAATTCAGGCGAGAGGTGTGTCGGATTGCGCATCGAAGAGAGTTGTTAGCAACTAGGTAAAGTCATAAACCATCAAACTCTCGCCCCCACCTCTCTTCTCTTTCAACACAATGACCACTTCATCGTCGAATCCCACCCAGTTCCTACGTTCATCCCAATCGTATTCCAAATCTTCTTTGTTGTCCAATGCAAGGCCGCCGCCGCTGGGAGGAGCCGAGCCGCTTTTGTTATCACTTGAGGCAGCAGGACCGGGTTTAATCTCGATGCTTCGGCTGCCAATTCCGCTTGACCGTCCTTCCAGCTCCCAGACTCGCATCTCTTCACCCCGCGAGCTGACACTAACGGCCTTTCCCCGCGCCGTTATCTCGGCATTGCTAATTCCCGATGTGTGGCCCCATAACCGAATACCACGTGAGATGGACAGCGACGAGGCGGTTGATGTGCACATGTGCAGCACAAGGGTGTTGTCAGGCAGAGTGGCGAGAAGATAAGGGTGAGTGTAGCAAAGTGTCGTAGGCCCGACTGTAACTGGAGGGGTTCGCGAGGATGGGCTATCCGGTTCTCGAGATCTAGCAACAATTTCATGTAAGGGTGTTGTTGGTGTTTCTTGCAGCCCACTGCCAGTGTCTAACGGCATGGTGTATGCTGTTTTTGTTGTAGTGATGTCGGGAGCGGACTTGACGCCTGTACTTGGGGCGCGGATGTGCATGTCCTGAAGACCGATGGACCAGCCCCTCCGAGTGGGAAAAGTGTAAGCTATTGAGGCGACGGTTGTCAAAGCCATCTTTCGTATGGATAGTGCAAGAGGAGGTCTCGAGGAGTAAGAGTTGAGTGATGTGAGCAAATATGGCGCTGGAAGCGTATCGGTATCGTGTTCAGAGGCACCCGACTTCTCCTCCATTGGACCACCCGCTTCTGTCATCGTTCTCGCCTCGCCACCCGCCCCCGAGTTCTGAGCCGATTGGTCTGCCGGTGGCTGCTGGGGTACCTCGAAGGTATAAAGCGATACCAATACCGCTGCCGTGGCCGTCAACAGGTAGGGATACGATAGGGCCATCGCAACGAGTTCCCCATTACTCGACTTTTCGTGTTTGTACCGCCTTACAAGACGGTTCTCGCCACTGAAAAACCTCCAAACCCCAAAACTCCCGTCAAGGAAACCCACTCCCACGTCCAACATCCCGTGGTCCAACTCGTAGTCGTCAATAGCAATACAGCTTGGCGTAGAGTCCAGCCCGTCCTCGCAGAGACTCACTTGCGCCAGCAGATGTCTGCTCTTCAGATCCCATGTGCGCAAACCCGACACCTTGTCCGCGGTGATCGCAATCCCTTCGACCACTTTTACGAGCACCTTTCGCTCCTGTTGTTGATGATTTCCCTCTTGCGTCGTGTCCGCCGTACCCCCTATCCTCAGCTCTTCAACCGCGCATTTGCCCCTCGACCAATTGTATCGGATCTTATACTGCCTCTTCCAGTTAACAGGCTCCCATTTCCGCTCTTGTGACCGTCCGTCGACTTCTACGCCTAGTCCGCTGTTGTCGAAAGTGCTTTGCTCGTCTCTCCTCCTCTTGCTTCCAGTCTTGATTCCCTCCTCCTTCTTTGCTTGAACAAGTCCACCACGTCGCCCATCAGCCCATAGTGTCCTTCTGCCCGAGTAATGCAATTTGTGGCCGGTACCGCCACCACTGGCCGCGGTGTCTCTGAATCCCGGTATCCTCATGGCGCGCGGTAGCACGAAGCGCGCGTAGTATAACGCCTTCCATAATTGAGAATCTCCAGCGAGCTGGTAGAAGCGGCGCGACACTGGGGCGACGGCGAGGAGGTGTTGGAGTGGAAGGAACGATAGGATGCGAATGAGCAGCTCGTCTGAGAGAGAGGAGAGTAGATCGCGGGATATGCTATTACGTGTAGGGTTAGAGTCGGGCTGCTGAACGCGCGTCGGCCGCCTGGCCGGCAGGGCAATGTCGTCGTCTACGGAATGAGGATTGAGTCGTCGGCGTTTCGCGTGCGGCAGAAATTCGGTGTTGTCGTGATCGCTTTCGTCATGATAGTCGGATTCATCGTCGTAGGCAACCAGAGGCTGTGTTCTTTTGCTGGCCATTTTGCACAATTAGCCGCCCTTGTATTCTCCAGCCAAAAAACAACGCTACTAGAAGCTGTTTCACGGGCATGCGCGAGCAGGATCCAGGCTGAAGAGCGGACGTGGTTGATTTGAAGCTTGCGGACGAAGTTGCAAGAGCTCAAAGGACAAGAGGAAGATTCAAGACACCAGGATGTGTTTCGTCGTCGCAGTTCCCGTTTCTGGGTAAGTGGCAATGCCAAGCCTTTTGGGTTCTGGGGTTCCATCCTCTTGTATGTATGTACAAGTAGGATTACACAACAGCATGCGTACATGCTACGTTCTAGTGTGATTGCTAACGGTTCTGCACTGATGCCATATTTCAATTGAGCTCTATGCTAACAGACACTAACTATAAAAAATGCATACCACTCTCCTCAATAAAGCTGACCAGGGAACGCCCCCTCGGCCTTCAACGTGGCATAGTATAACTTCGTTTCCGCAAGGATCACCATCCGACCCTTTCCAGCAAACTGGAAGTTGGCGACCGTGCTGCCGATCCAGATCTTTCCGAGCAGCTTTCCGGACGGGTTGTACACATGCACGCCGTCGCCGCAGCCCGCGTACAGGTTACCTTTGGTGTCGACGTGAACGCCATCCGGCACACCAGTCGCGATGAAGGCGAAAGTCTTGCGGTTGGAGAAGGTGCCATCTTCTTCAACGTCATAGCGGTAACTTTGTGTGAAATGCAATGTCAGAGCAGTTGTTGGCTGGCGACTAGACGACAAAGATGGCAGAACTTACATGCTCGATGGGAAGGATGAGTTACGCCCGAAGAAGCCCTGGATGACACCGGTATCGGTCACGTAGGCATGTTGGCCGTCTGGGGAGAAGGTGATGCCTGGTATCATAGGTTAGCCCTCTCCCTCCAGTGAAGAACTATAGACGGGACATCCGCTTACCGTTAGGCATATTAAACCCATCAGCCGCAACGGCCACAGCCCCAGATGTCTCGTTGAATCTCCAAACCTGCTTTTGAATGACAGTCTCGGGCCGGAAATCCTGAACATAGCCGTAGGTAGTATCGGTAAAGTAAATGTCTCCGGTGCGCGGGTTGATTGCAACGTCATTGATGGAGTTAAACTGACGGCCAAAGTAGTTGTCCAGGATGACCGTGGCATTATAAGGAGCATTTGGAGACATGACATAAAGCGCCGGAGCAACTCTGCTGCCCTGTCCCTCGCCGGCGAAAAGGATTCTGTTCCTGTAGTTTGTTGCGCCTAATGAAGCAGTTAGTATCACACTGTTTCCCTCTTTTCCCCCTTTGACCCAATCCCTTTGATCACTTCTCTTTTTGTGGATAAAAGACATACCATTGGGGTTGATGATAGCAGGAGTCGCTACGGCCAAGTGAACGTCGACCTTGCCAGTGGCATTTCTCTCCGCCGATACATCAGCCGTCACTTGGGAAAGCGAGATCCTTTGAATGATGGCCGACCTGTTGAGCCCAGTGCCGGCGGCGGGATCACCCGCGTTTTGCACAAAGAAGACGTCATCCGTGGACGGGACCCTAAAATCCTGACCATCAGTTTTTTGTTGCCAGTTATCTTGCCTACAGCATAGTTCAGGTAAAGACCTACCAGACAGCAGCTTCATGAAACATCGGGTTAGTTCCCGATGACTTAAGAAGCGTAAGAGTCGGGTTAGCTCCAATAATATCCAAAAACTCCTCATCGTAAATGTGGAAGGGCTTCTCGAAGAGGGAGTCCTTTGTTGTTCCAGGCGGGATGAAGAGCTGCTCGCGCACAAGGTGTGACAGGTTAGCGGGGAGCATGTCGAAACATGGCGATTCTCATTTTGGCAGACGTACAGTACTATAATTGGCTACAGTAGGAGGCGGCACGTCCCCCAGAACGTTGAAACTCTTTTGGTTGATGACCTGTGCCTGAGCCGGAACATTGTTGCCCTGGGCAGTGGCAGTTGCCAGGAGCAACGCCGTCGCCCCGGAGAGGAGGGGCGCGAGAGACGTACGCCGAGCGTGGACCATGGTGATGAACTTGATGATGAATAGGTATGTGATGGAACAATAAGATCAGTCCGGTATGTAGTCTTCGACGGTGTATGATCACCAAGTATTTATGGAAGTCAATCGTACTTTCCTCGATCAAGTTCGGTCAAGTGTAGGTAAGCTTCAGTTCACCGCCGACACCGTCATCGCCATCGCGCACCGGCTAAATCTATGGCGTTTGGTCCCCTGCCAAGTTGTGGAACCACCACACGATGATCATCAACTTGTTGGGCTTCGCTTGTCGTTCTTGTCCTCAGCTACAGTCCAAGGCTGGTTTGTTTGTTAAGTTGATATTTCTTGCTATATTGGGCCCTATCCCTCCCAAGTTGTCCTATATCTCACAATGACAAAATGAAAGGCTCAGCACGGATCTGAAAGGCATGATCAGAATCCGAGATTGACGAAATAAGCATCAAAAACAGCATATTCAAGGTGAAACTACATGTTAACCACAGAGCCACAATGAAATATAGAAATACCCGGCCGGATAAACATACCCGGGAAACCTGACCCGAGATCTCGAGCTAACGATCAAACCAGCTCTGGACTGTACTAGGTCAGCGCTTCCCCATCTTGACCCCCACATATCTCGGCTTCTTCCAACCTGGCATCGTCTCTCAACAGCCCTGGGCTAGCAGGCTCTCCTATACTCCTAGCCCTATACGAAAGAGATGGACTCCGATACGTGAAGTTTGGCGAAGGTGAAGTTATGCCGATCGGCGATTGAGCGATTGGCTGGCTAAACTTTGGTGGTGTATACCTCTAGCCGGTTGCAGGTGAAATAATACCTCTCTGTGTCTTACAAATGCTTGTAGAATGAATAGCGAGGTATTAACACAGCAATCATGGAATTGATCTCGGGTTTCGGGGTCGGAAGCCAGGATTGAAGCTAACCATTACATCGATCGTATTAAGATTTACGGCCTATTAAGCATGGTCACGAATAACTCGTATGTGACGCTGTCACATATTGTAGAAAGCTTTTGTTTTGTTCCTCACCGTGACCTTCCTCCAGCCCAATGAGTTAACCGCTTCAGCCAATCTTCTAGGTAGATCTAAAGCACCTGGATATTCCAGATCACTTACCAACTTCCGACAACTTGACAAAAATGTTTCGTTTATTCCTATTCGACCATTCACAGTTGCCTTCACCAGTCTATCTTAGTGTAAACTCCGGCAGATTGTACTCATCCTCATCGCCACTGCATCGAGACCGCCCTTGTCCCCTTGACAGAGACCGGAACCCAGCTACCTCTACCCAAGAATAAGATCCACAATGAAACCGACCTCAATCCCCAGAGAAGATAAGGTATAACATACAGATTCCATGCCCGGCGTACCACAACCCAACCCTCAATTCTGGCAGCTTGCTGAATTCTACATGAGATCGAGCATCGCCGACCTCCTTCTTTCTTTTACCCATGTCATTTCTCCTCCGTTGCTTCCATGGACTCATCAACACGGCTCGGCACATACAGCCACTTACTCGGACACACATGAATCAGTTCAGACACACCCACTCACGCCCTCAAACGGACAATCTCCATCACGAATCCATTTACGCCAGTCTTGAGTTCATCTCTAAGGTACATAACATGAAAATATGTCACCTAGAAAGCTAGACGAAGCAAAACTGCAGGTGCCTTCCTCCCGAGCAAACATGTCGCTCATATGTTGCTCACGGGCTGCTTATCTCCAATGGGACCCGAAAGGCGGCATCAATCTGCCGGTTAAATGACAGCACACATATCAAACAACTTAGCACTTTTGCCAGGCTGATGGCAGGACCAATCTTGTCCTTTGGAAGTAACGATATATTGGTCTAGTGATCATATTTTCGACTTCATATATACACACGCTCGTCGAGTGTCTCCCATACCTGGATTGGAAGTACTTTGTACGTGGATTGCTTCCCGGTGGATGAGATGCTGTCACACGGAATTTGGAGCCCCATTCGCCATCTTGCTGTGTGGGTGCAGAAGGGTAGAGAACTCAGATATCATCGGAGTAAGACCCAGGCAACATATGCGGGCGTTTAAGCCCAAATGCCGATGTGGCTCGGGATTGCGTTCGTGGGGACCTTAATTGCTTTGGCTGTGATTGAGAGAAATAGTACCCGTGACTTGGTGAATCATAGAGGCAACGTAGACGTAGGCAATAAAGAGGGGGTTTGGCTCTCTCCCCTTGTGTGGTAGGCGGGCTTGCCCTTATATTTGCGTCAGTCCACTCGTGTGCCTCTTTTTCTATCGCAGTAGCTGGATCCTCGCCACCATCGCACTCGAGTCATTGCTCAACCATTTCATTCCATTACCAGCCATGAAGTCCTCACTTTTAGTCGTCCTGACCGCCGGACTAGCTGCCAGGGATGCAATCGCCCACGCCATCTTCCAACAACTCTGGGTAGACGGCGTCGACTACGGCTCCACCTGTAACCGCCTTCCGACCTCCAACTCCCCCGTTACCAACGTGGGAAGCCGAGATCTTGTGTGCAATGCCGGTACGAGGGGTGTTAGTGGGAAATGCCCCGTCAAAGCAGGCGGGACCGTGACGGTGGAGATGCACCAGGTGAGTTCTACTTCCCTAAACGCCCTCCTGTTCCTTTCAGGTATCAGCCCAGCCACACATCTCCATTCCAACTTTTTCTTACCTAGCATATAACTAACCCAAACCTCTAAACCCCAAACAGCAACCAGGCGACCGCTCCTGCAATTCCGAAGCCATCGGCGGCGCCCACTGGGGTCCGGTGCAAATCTACCTCTCCAAAGTTTCCGACGCCTCCACCGCCGACGGTTCTTCGGGCGGGTGGTTCAAGATCTTCTCCGACGCATGGTCGAAAAATTCCGGCGGGCGCGTAGGTGACGACGACAACTGGGGCACGCGCGATCTGAATGCTTGCTGCGGGCGAATGGACGTGCCAATCCCCAAGGACCTGCCCAGCGGCGATTACTTGTTAAGAGCCGAGGCGCTGGCGTTG